GGAGGATGGCCCAAGTGCTTGGGCCCTGCACCCCATGGGAGACCAGGAGAAGCACCTGGCTCCTGCCATCGGATCAGCGCGGTGCGCCGGCCGCGGCGGCCATTGGAGGGTGAACCAACTGCAAAAGGAAGACCTTTCTCTCTGTCTCTCTCTCTCACTGTCTACAACTCTACCTGTCAAATAAATAAGTAAAAAATAAATAAATAAATAAATAAATAAATAAATAAATAAAAGAGCACAGGAAACAAAAGCAAGAACAGACCAATGGTATTTCATCAACTAAAAAGCTTCCCCATAGCAAAGGGAACAATCAAAATAGACCAGACACAAGCTACAGAACGGCAGGAAGAAAATATCTGTGAGCTGCAGCTCAACTGACAAGGGGTAACAATCAGAATCTATAAGGAACTCAAACAACTAAGCAAAAAACCAAGTGATCTTTTTAAAATGGGCAGTAGGGCAGTAGGGACTGGCATTGTGATCTTGGGACACCCACATCCCACACTGGACTGCTGGTTTGAATCTCAGATGCTCTGCTTCTGATACAGCTTCTTCCTAACGCACCCTGGAAGGCAGCACATCCTGCCATCCACATGGGAGCCCAGATGGAGTTCCAACTCCTGGCTTCAGTCTGGCCCAGCCATGGCTGTTGTGGACATTTGAGGAGGAAGACAGCTGATGGAAGATATCTATCTATCTCCCCCACCCCACCCACCCCGAGTCCTGTTGTTCTGCCTTTTAAATAAATAAATGAAGTCTTTAAAAAAAAAATAGGCAGTGTATTTGGGGTCAACACTGTGGCCTAGTAGGCTAAGCCTCCATCTGCGACCCTGGCAACCCATCTGTGGGCAGGTTCATGTCCTGGCTGCTCCTCTTTAGACCCAGCTCTCTGCTGATAGTCTGGGAAAGCAGTGGAGGATGGCCCAAGTGCTTGGACCCCTGCACATCCATGGAGGACCCAGGAGAAACTCCTGGCTCCTGGCTGTAGATTGGCCCAGCTCTGGCCACTGCAGCCATTTGGGGAGTGAACCAGTGGATGGAAGACCTTTCTCTATGTGTCTCCCTCTCTCTGATGATAAACATTTGAGAAGATGAATATGATTATACTGACTTGAACAGAATACAGTGTATACGTGGATCAGAACACTCCACGGTACCCCACAGATACATGGAATTTTTACATCAGTTAAAAATAATAATTTTAAAAAATTTTAAAAGAAGCCAAAAGAAAAAATTATCGATTATGTATACAGGAACAATGATAAGAAAGGCAGTTGACTTTTTATCAGACACCATGCTGGTCAGAAGACAATAGACAGACGTTTACAAAGTACCAGGAGGGGGTTAAAAGTCAATTTGAGATGTGAGGTTTTAAATGATGGCGACTGGAGGTTGCAACATCAGCAGTGTCAGCCCCTCCTGGCACATCCCTCCGGGATACGTGACACGTACCCCCACTACAGGTACACATGCATGCACACGCACTCAGCATCTCAGTACAACATCCCAACATTTCCAACAGAAAAACAAAGCCGTGTCAGGGAGGTGATGAGACATGAAAACACATGTGACCACGTACACCCACTGTGGCACGTGTGTCGTACATGAAGAGCCCTTGCATCCCGCCATCACTGACCATCACGCATCTTTTATTGTGATAAGAACCGTAAGAAGGGTGTGGAAGGGAAAAAAAAAACCATCAGGAGGAAAACAAAGACTCCTGTGTCCTCACCCGCCACCCGGCAAGTAAGCTGCTCCTCAGGAGTCAGGATCCGAGACCCGGGAGTCAGGTGCAGGCTGATGGAGACGCTCCGGGGAGAGAGGGGAGGCGTCGGAACAGCACCCGTCTCCCACAAGTGCTGGGTGCTGCACAGCACGTGTTGTGCCAAGGGCTCCAGGGCGCCGTCTCGCTCGACCCTCACACTAACCCTGAGCGGTGACTGTACCACTGCTCTTTACAAGCAAGGGAGCAAAACGCCCAAGCGCCTTCGGCAGGGAAGCTTCCCAAGGTTAGCAGCAGGGTTGGGATTTGCACCTGGGTCTGAGACTCCCGGCTCCTCACCCTCCCCAGCCACTCACAAATTCACTCCTCACACAGAGAGGGGGCTCCATGAGGCCCCCACACGACGCCCCTGTCCTCAGAATGCTCAGGGCCCAGCGAGGGAGGCAGTAAGAGTCGTGATGGCCAACACTGACCGAGCCACATGCTAGCCAGCGTGTTGCACACTTAGTGGGTCACATCTTGGTGAATCTTCACATCACTCCTATGAGGTGCATCCTGGCATTACCCCCGTCTGGTGAGAAAAGTGAGCCCCGGTGCCACTGTGTGGCAGAACCAGAATCTGATGGCAGGACGCAGACTCCCCAGCCAGGTATGCGACTGCCTCGGGCTGCCGAGGGGCACAGACGGGCGGGGCAAGGCCACGCTGCTGCTCCTTCCCCACGGCCTTTGCATTCTGAAGACAAATTTGTTTTAGGAACCAAGGGACCTGGGCTGCACCTGCTCCCAGAGGATGGGACAGTCCTGGGATTGTCCACGGCCCCCATCCTCTCTCACCAGCTCCTGGCTCACATCACTCCAGTCTCACTCAACAATGGACGTGGCTTGTTACAGATGACAGTGAGTCCACACTGTCCTGCTCCAGCCGTTTAGGGGCTCCCTACCCAGCTCTCTAACCAGGCCTCATCCTCTCTCTGGGCTACTCTAAGCAGCACCCAACAGCGGCCCTTGCCTTGGCACCTTCCCGTTCCTACCACTAGGCAGCAAGTTCCTCCCCTTGTTTAGTAGCCAAAAGCACCCGTCCGATTATACTCGCGAGCTCTGCAGGTCAGGAATCTGGATACGCAGCGGTGGGATGGCTCCTCTGCTCCCCCAGGCCTGGGCCCCCACAGGAAGACGCTGCAGCTGAGAGCCCCGCAGAAGCTGGGTGGGGTGGGGGTGGAGAGGCAGGAGCCGATGGCCTGGGCTGGAATCACCCAGACCAGAGGCATCTTTCCTCCCACGTCTGGGGGTCTGTGTCGGCCATCAGCCGGGGCCTCCTCCACACACGGCCCCTGCATAGCAACGTCTCAGGTTCCAGCTTGGGGCCCCCGGAATAGAGTGCCCCAGCAAACGTGGCAGCAGCCATCGGCCTCGGGAGCCAGGTCGTGCTGCTCCCACCGCCCTCTGCACGTCGCTGACTCTCCCAGACTCAAGGGAGGGGGGCAGACCGGGAGAAGTCGCTGGGGCCATCTTTGAAGAAGCCACCTGCCGCGGGGTCTTCACACACTCTTCTCGGCCAGACCGCACTCTCTGCACCTGCTAATTCCTCCCCTCCTCAGGCGCCAGCTCCAACACAGCTTCATCAGCGAGCATGGCCTGACTGCCCAGCCCAGCTCAGGCAGCTCCACTGGCCAGATCCTCCCCTGACCACCAGCTCTCGGAGGACAGGACCTCAGCTTCTGAGCTGGCCACAAGCAGGTTCCCAACAGACATCCACATGGGCATATACATACACACACACACACGCACACACACACACACAGAGGAGAGACACGACACATAGTCAGCTCCACCCCTTATGCTTCCACTGCTCTCCAGGCCCCAGACTTCCACGACCCCACTGGAACCCTCATCCTGAGAGCTGCGCTGATCCAAAGCCAGGAGCTCCTTCCAGGTCTCCCCTGTGGGGGCAGGGACCCAAGGACTTGGGCCATCTTCCACTGCTTTCCTAGACCTTAAACAGAGAGCTGGATCAGAAGTGGAGCAGCTGGGACTCGAACCACAGCCCATATGGGATGCTGGCACTGCAGGTGGTAGCTTAGCCTGCTGCGCCACAATGCCAACCCCAAATGCCCACCTTCTAAGATGGGCTGGCCCCAACAGAGAAAATCAAAGCATATGAATAGGGGGCTCAAGAAGAAACGTTCACCCTCCACAAACAGGAGGGGAAGCGCTGGTGGGGCTGTCTGCCCAGGGACCAGACCCTGACACACTGTGCCCAAGGTGCAGACGCCTACCCAAGTTCCTCCCTGCACCCAAGCATCATCACTGTCCACACTCGAACTTTTTGTTAAAAGGATCCTTAACAGTGTGCCCTATGCTGTTGACCAAGCACGGGGGTAGCCCGACGTCCTAGGGCTCCTCCCCTGTGTGTGCTTAGCATCCCTGCAGGGCGGGGCAGCACGCTGGGTCCCCTCCTCTGACCAGCCCGGCAGGGCCCTTGATGCTGAGGGACTCTTGCTGTGTGGGTCCGGCCCCCTTTCCTACTCTGACTCTGGGAAACCCCAGACCCCCACCTCCATGGCAGGCTCCCCACTGAGGACTCTGGTAGGACCCAGCATACCCTCCTGGGAGGGCCAACGGGATCACACAGCAGAGGCTCCCCAGCACAGCGTCCTGGCTGAATCTGGCTGCAGCCCTAGGGCCGAGCACTAGTGTTAGTTAGCTCCTGTTCTGCTGTCTGCACGGGGTGCCCAGAGACGCAGTGACTCAGTCAAGGCCTCTCGGCTGGGGCGTGGGGAGTGGCAGGGCTGTTCTCAGTGGCATGTCCCCTTGTCCTAAGCCAGCGCCTCCTGCTAGCTCTCACAACAGGGAACCCGCCGGCTTCCCCGTTGACAACCTCCAGGGTTCGAGATGACAGGGAGGCCTCTGAGAAGGGCAGCCGACAAGGACACACTGTGGGAACGGAGCCGCCCCTGAGCTGGGTCTCCGTGGGGCAGTGCCCGGGGAGGGGTCGACCCCAGGGGAGAGCCAGCTCCCTGTGGCTCGCAGCTGCTGCACAGCTGGAGCGGATCTAATGCCATTACCGGAGTCAAAGGGGAAGCCCTGTGCCTCCGCACAGTGCCGGGAGCTGCCTGGGCTTTGGGGAGTGGAGTCGGCCAGGCCGCCCGTGCCAAGGAAGGAGGGGGCCGCCGAAGCCGCCAAGGCGGGCGGGTGGGAGGGGCCGGGCCAGCTGGGCTGAGCTCCTGTGACATCACCGGGCGGCCCGCCTCTGTCTGGGGCCGAGGGGAGGCCCGGAGCCTTTCTGGGGCCTGGGGGATCCTCTTGCACTGGTGGGTGGGGAGAAGCGCCCGCAGCCAACCAGGGCCGGGCTGTGATCACAGTTTCCTCTGGCGGCATGGAAAGGCCCCACAAAGGAGCTGGGAGTTCAAGTGAGGCTGCAGCAGGCGGCCCGAGGATGGACCCCGAGCCCGGACTGCAGAGCGCGCACTGAGGCGGCCGCCGGTCCCGTCCCGTGGGCAGCGAACGCAGGCTGGGAGCAGACTCCTCGGGCCCGGGCGGAGCCTGGGGGAGGCCAGTGAGGCAAGGCTGCTCTCGGCCATCAGCCTGCACCGCAGGACCCCATGGACAGGCTGCCCTGCTGACAGCCACGGGGGAGCATGTGAGGAGCTGCCCCTGGGAGCCACGCAGGAGGGACGAGGTAAGGGCTCGGCTCCGTGGCAGCCAGGGCCGGGGGCCGGGAGGCAGCAGCTGCCCTGCGGCGGGGTCCAGGACCCTGACTCCCCCTGGCTGGGGGTGTGTGCAGCTGGCTCCCCGAAGGGCTCACTCCCCGCTCTCCTTCGGAGCCACGCACGGCATCTGCCGGGGCAGGGCTGTGGATGCTTGGGCATGGGCTGTGATTCTGAGGACTCGACTGTAAGCCTGCAGACAAAGAGCCTTTAGGGTGAGGGCAGGCGGCTCCCGGGCCCGGCTCGGCAGCGGGGTGTGTGCTGTGCGTGTGTGGAGGTGTGTGTGTGACGGGCAGGGACTGGCTCAGGAGGCAGAGGTCGGGAAGTCATCTCTAGGCTTTGGGCTCCTGTGCGCCCCGGAGGGACCAGTGCACCACACGGGTGCCAATGCAGGAGCGATCGCTGTTCGGAGGCGGCTGGGGCTCCTGCCCGGAAAGCGCCCTGAAGCCGGCAGCCTCTGTTCACAGCCCTCCAGCTGGGGGAACAGGAGCCGGGCATCCCTTGCCGGATGGGACGTGTCGCCTGGAGGTATCTGCCACTCTGACTGGGGCAAGGTGCTGCCTGGATGTTCCCTCTGTGCCCAAGGACGCGTGCACCCAGCCCTCCTGCCCACTGGACGCGGCTGAGAAGCAGGGGCGGGCAGGAGGGCGGCAGGAGCTGCACACAGCAGTCCCTTGAAAGCACTCCGCGTTAGATAACATTTCCCGGCAGAAGCCTTGCCTGACCGTTCCCTCTCCCTCCGAGATGTGTGTCACGGGTCAGCTGCTGCCTCCGCTGTGGGATTAGGAGAGCTCCCAGAGGCCAGTTCGGTGACTTAGAAAGGGACCTCCTGCCCGGGGCTTGGGGGAGAGTTGAGAACGCCACTTCTGAAGCGGGCCAATGGAGGCAGAGCAGGGCAGTGCTCTCGGGCTGGCCGCGAGTCCTGGCCCTTGTAGTTGCTTAGCCAAGCAGCTCTGGCAGGACACAGGCTTCCCAAAGCTCGGTTCCCTTATCTGCGAGTTGGGCTAACAACAGTGCCCGTGTTTCAGCCGCAGCTAACGGCAGAGTTCTCACCCGCGGCTGGTAACACGAGTACTGTTCTTCATCCCCATTTGACAGGTGAAGAAACTGAGGGAGAAGTGAAGAGATGTGCCCAAGGCTAGGCGGCTAGCGAGTGCCCTGGGGTGGTGAGCCTGGTGTGCGGCTCTAGGGCCACTGGGAGAGCCAGGCTCCGTGCTTTCCGAGAGCAGTGTGAGCACGCGATCGCAAGCCTGCACATGGTGCCCGGTGCGCGGCAAACCCTAGGAAGCGTCAGTCACTGATGATCACAACCATAACCATCGGGAAGGCACAGAGGGAAGAGCAGAGGCCCAAATTCTTTTCCCTATTCATCCTGCCAGAGTTTTCAGGAAACCCCACAAGGCAGAGCCAATGCTGCGGCTGCCATCAGCAGCCACACTCGGGGGCCTTCCAGAAGCCTGGAGCGGTACTTTCTGAGGTCTGGGTCTGGGGCCACCTGCAGCATGTGTGCGTCCTACAAGGCCACACTAAGGAAAAGTGCAGACACCCCCAGCAAGGGCAGCTGGCGCCCTGCCGCCCTGGGGCACTACTATCCTGCCAGGAAAGCAGAGGAGGGAGCAGGGGAAGTGGAGCTGCCTCGGGGCGGCAGGGGGTCCGCACCAGTTCCCCTGCAGCTCCGGAGCTGCAGAGTGGAGAGGGCGGGGCAGCCATCACCAGCTCTGGCCACTGTGATGGCCAGTCTGCTTCGTCTTGGCCCGGGACAACAGCTTCTGTCCCACGGTCCCCAGAGGGCTTCCACGGCTCCAAGAAGTGCTGTGCAAGCTCTGTCAAATGTTTGCTTCTCCAGCACATGGCCGCTGGCGCTGCCGAAGCCGCAGGCCTCCCGGCTCCAGCCTGGAGCCCCCGTGCCTCACTGGCCTCTCCGGGCAGCTTGGCCCGGGCAGAGGCTCTGGCTGACTTCGTGGGCCTGGCTGACAGAAACAGAGCTGCTTCTTACGCAATGGGGCAGTCCTGTGGATCAGATGCGAGAGTTTGAGGCTCTTGGCCCCGAGGGCGCTGCCCGGCATCCCCGCCCACACTCTCCATCCTTCGGGGGTTCCTAGGAGGGAGAGGCTGGTTTTAACGCCCCATTTTACAGATGGGCAAACCAAGGCTCAGAGGTCACACAGGAAGTGGTGATGTGGGACTCACACCCAGGTCTGTCTGTCTCTAAAGCACATGCCTTCCTCAGTCCACTGCCTGGTTCAAGGTGCTTGACTTCTTTTATCCTGACTGCCAGTTGGTCCCAGAGCCCCAGCAGCTACATTCACCCACTGCTGCTCCCCAGTCCAAAACCCGCTTGCCGACCCAACCCGAATGTACCACTTGCTCCCCGTGGAGGCCCACCCTTGACACAGAACAGGCATCGCTGCCACCTCTCCCACAGAGGCACCTCAGCACAGTCATGTCAGCCCCGTGCCTGGGATACTGCCTCCCCACATCAGCACCACGGACGCTGGCACTCGCCGGCAGGGGCAGGACCTCGGCAAACACGTGTCTCTGTGTCTGAGAAACCACGGACGGCTTGGAGAGCTCCACGGGGCTGGGACTCTGAGCTCAGAGCTTCCCTGGCTGCGTGAGGCCTGAGAAACACCAGGGAGGTCGCAACCGGGGGCTCCAGGAGAACACACTGGGGAGGCTGCAGCCCCGCGCGGGAAGGCACCCCGGGCACGGGGCCTTTCTGGGTCGCAGCCATTTAGCCTGGAATGGTCTCTGCTGACAGCAGGTATCGGGGAACGGTCGGTGCATAACCACACAAACTCACAGCGGTGTGAGAGCTGGGAGGCCTTTAGGGCGCAGCGCCTCTGCTGGAAAGCAAGCATTCCGACTCTGACTGTTCACTAGAGCCCAGCCCATCCTGGATGGCTGCGGGGCGGAAATCTCAAGCGTCAGGGGACAGAGCACCTTTTCTGTGAGCCTCCCTGAAGCCCCCAGCAGCCTGGAGCCTGCACGACAGGTGCTGCCAGAACTCGGCTCTGGGACGGGAGCCTCGCGCCCGGCGTGGGGGCTGGAGGTTACCGTGCCCCGAGCATGCACGCAGCACTCTGAGTCATTCTCAGTGCCGGGTGGGGGAACCAGGCCCTCACAATTGAGCCATTGTGCCAGGCCCGTTCTCTGGGGAACTCAGCCTGTCCCAGGGCCAGCAGCCCCAGGGCCCCAGCCCCCTGCCCTGCTGCCTGACTCTCCAGAGAGGCAGGCCCAAGACCACCGCAGCAAAGCCCTGTTCTGGGCCTTGAGTGAGGCCTGATGGCCTGCCTGGCTCCTGGAATGGATTCTGCCCGCGATGGTCCCACACCAACCTCCACAAGGGCAGACTGTGGGTCAGCCACTGCTGGGCGCCTACCGCCTCGGCAGCTCTGCGACTGCGGCACGTAACTCCATGCCCTTCCTCTGTCTGCTCCTCTGTGAAATGGGGGAAATCATAGCCCTGGCCACGCAGAGTTGCTGGGATTGATGTGTCTCAGTGCTCAAGGGCTCAGCCCACCCCACAGGCCACACGGTCCTGGGGCCCAGGGGAGCAGCTCCAGGCAAGGCCTGCATACAGGTGGTGCTGCCTACTCGGCTCCCCCCCCACCCCGACTTCTCCCTCTTGCCTGAGGCTCCCCAAACTCCAGGACCCCAGAGCACTCCAGGTCGAGCCGGAAGTGCAGCAGCCAACTCAGGAGCTGGACTCCGAGATGGCTTCTGCAGACGCCTCCCGGCCGCCTCTCTGCTGGCCACAGCTCCTGGCACGGAGGGCTCCGAGCGCAGACTTCGGGGGAATCTCAAAATGGCTCTCAGATCCTGCCCCATCAAAAATAACAGCCGTAGCCTTGTCCCCCTGGCAAAGACAAGCAGCTCCCCACTGCCTGACCACGTCCCCTCCTGTCCTGTGAGCTCACAGCGCGACCACAGACCGCCTCCTTCATCAACTCAGCCTCTTCTGGAGCCAGCGACTTATCCGTGGCAGAAGCACAAGGGTCCAGGCGTCAGGCAGATCCAGACCCCAACACCACTCCTCCGGGCATCTCTGCCTGACCCGAGACTCTCAGCCTCCCTCGGTCCCGCCTGGCTCCCCACCACCCATGAAGGGTAGACCCAGGTGGAGGCGTACGCAGCGGCTGGCCGGCTGGGTGACGGAGCGTTGCACGACGGAACTGGCTGCAGCCCCCCTGGGTGGGGTGATGCACAGGACCCTAGCAGGAAGCAGACGGCAGCTGGCGATCTGGACGTCCCCTCCTTGGCATGCAGGCTGCTGGGGAAATCACCCAGGACAAACGAGGAACGGCCCCTTCCCCAGGTTTTCTACTGGGAGGGTGCCACTGCCCGTCCTGGACGCCCACTCACACGCATGATCGGGGGCTCTAATACCCAACAAGACTCACCCTTGTGCTGACCCGGAAGCCACCTCCACTTACTCGGTCAACAAGCTCCTTTTGCTCATCTCGGCTGGAGAGATCTGAACCCCAGTCCCGATACTGACCCCAGGTGACCTCAGGGACTGGACCTCAGTCTCCCCGAAGGCCGAAGGCAGACCACACCTTTCTCCCACTTAAGGGGACCACAGAATCTTTTGCCCATCCAGGACACTTCCGAGAGGGAGGGACGGACGCTGTTAACAATGGCACGAGACCCCAGGCCTCCACCAGGGCCACGGGGACGTGAGATTCTCTATTTACAGGGTTGTAAGAACGCACAACAAACAAATGACAGCTGGTAGTGCTGTGCCCCAGCTAGGACCTCTGTGGACTTTCCTCCTGGGCTAGGCCCCCTCGCCCGGCCCCTCACACACTGGTCTGGGTCCACTCCACCAGCGAGCTGTGCCTTCCAACTAGCTTTCCCGGGAACGACAGCCGGCCAGCACCAAAGATTCCCCTCGTCCCCATGTTGGTCTCACGATCTCCGCTCCTGCTCTGATCTCGACGGACTCCAGCACAGCCCAGGATTCCAGCTT